CACATAATAACACAATTATTATATAGTTTCCAAATGGATGGACTGTAATTTGCTTAACCTTTTCCCTGTTGCTGGTGATTCAGTTGTTTTGAAGACCGATTTTTACAAAATGTCTTATTTCTAATAAGTTTTGTGCTATTGTTTTCAAACAATGCAAGAGAGAAAAGGAAATGGCTGAGTTGGAGCGTGAACGAGCATTGGCTCTAATGGAGCAGGAAATGATGGAGAGGCTGAAAGCAGAGGAGCTCTTGTTTCAACAGGTAAGACAAGTACGGGAGTCCAGAGGTGGCTGGAATTGGGGATGTCAGCCTCAGCGTGCTGCTGTCCAAACACTGACAAACGCCCCAGCTCCGGTTATTAGATGTGGCTGTCCAATATCTTCATCTTTATGGATGTGGGTGTCTTCTTGGCTGGAGAGGCAGCAGCAGCGGGCTTTTATGACTACACTCGTGCATGACACACATACACATTTCTTGCTCACTGCTGTTGCTAACACAAAAGATGACATTCCTCTAGGTGAGAAAACCCACAGGGTGTACTGTCACGGTAGCCAAAGGGAAAGCACGTCTCAGTGAGACCTGAGTGGTCAACCATAGCTGTTGCTGAACTGCAAAGCACTCATTTGTGGCCCCGATATTTTAGTGGGAATAGGATGGGTGGAGTGTGGGATAGAGGTAAGCAGGGGAGATGGAAAGTGTCAGCAGCAGAAAATCTCTTTCAAGGAGATTTACAGGGGAAGGAGAGAGGTGGGGTTTTTTTTTTTTCTTTGCAATTTTTGGCCGAGGCTGGGTTTGAACCTGCCACCTCCAGTTTGTGGGGCCAGTGCCCTACTCCTTTGAGCCACAGGTGCCACCCAGGAGAGGTGGTTCTGTGTTTGTATTGATGTAGGAGCACTGTAAGGGGTAGTGGCTGACATTGGAAAATGGAAGGGAAGATTCAGAGAGTCAGCCCTTCATGGAGATCAAAAGGAATGGGGCCTGCAAAGTAGGTTCAGCAGGTGCGAGGGTACTTCTCTGATTATAACTGAGAGACAGAGGAGAGAATAATATGGATATTGTAGGTTTCATAGTGCAGAATTGGAAGCAGCTTCTGATTGACTGTTTCTGTTTTCCCTACGAAGCAAGGACCGTGATTATCTGCCAAGAATGAGGTGGTAAGGTAGGAGGTGGGGGGAGTGGTGAAGGTTTGAAATGGTGCCTTTGGAGAAAGAAAGAGAGAGTTGACTGAGGAAGCTTAGCATTATTAGTCAGTAGCAGCTGGAGACCATGTATTCATAACGGCGCCATTTGGCTTGGTTGTGTGATTATATGATTTTCTTCACTTAGTCAAGATACCTGAGTGCAGATATGGATGAGACAGACCCTTTGGCTGAAGTTGGTTTGGGGTCGTAGGATGGGAGAGATGAAGATGCTAGTAGGGGTGACAGGATGGGTCAGGAGCATGCGCTAAGAGGGAAAAGTTCCAAAGTGGCTTCTGGACTCAGTGACTTTATAGAGTGAACTAAATGTAAGGCTCCTCTATAGTTCTACCATATAGTACTGAACTCTCTCTCGTGCAGTGATTTTCCACCAATATGTCATGAGAGGATCTTAGGTGTGCCACAAATAATTTTTAAAGATTATTAATTAAATTATTTTCAAAAGACGTTTAAAGCACAGTAAGTATATTCTTTTTTTAACTCTTTTTTTGATCAATATGATTTAAGTGTGTTGCAGAAATTTAACTATAGGTTCAAGTGTGCCGTGAATAAAAACAGTTGAAAAAGCACTAACCCTAACCTGAGTCCACACATTTACAAAAGGGAGAGAAGCCTATTAGGTAGATGTTTGAATAAAGAGAGAGAAAAAAAAAAAAATACAGACCTGGCAAGTAGCTTCTCTGCCTCACCTCTCATCTTTGATACAGAAGTAGAAAATTCCAGGCACCTTAGATGGATAGGGCTGTGGAAAACTTGGCTGCTTCTTCATTTGCTGAGTCTTCATTTTCAGTCATTTGGCTTATTCTTGAAGGGAGATTGCAAAATGTTGAGTTGGGTGTCAGATTCTCATCCAAACAGGTAGGGCGTCTCCTGTAGCCGCCACAAGTTTGAATGAGGATCCATCCTTCCTCTCACAGCTCCGATGGCTAGTCTCTGTCCCCTGTCTATCAGAATAAGGAGAATTCTCAGCAGTTCTTCCCCAAGACAGTTACATCAAGTACTTAATCTTACATAGAATTTGACAATACTAGAAATGAAATATTTCTCTAGCCATAATATATTGACCAATGTGAACTAATCTGCTGTGCTTTGAACCCTAAGTCTTGTATTGAGGGGTAGAAGATAAAGTAATATCCTGCAAAAAATGTATGGCCTGTTAAAGAAGCAGATTGGTGGCAGAAATAGACGGGAGAAGGAGAGACGAACCAACAGAGAAGGGCTTAAGAGAGAATGAGGCTGAGATGAAGATAAACAGAGAGGCTGCCCAGAGTCTGCCCAGAGCCTCTGCTCCCTCCCTGCTGGTTGTCCTCAGTCAGTACTGCCAACTTGAAATGCCCTGACACTTTGAGCACTCTCCAGCAAGCTTAGTTTCTCGTGAACAGGGAAGTGTTTTTGTTGCCAGTTCCTATGTAAGAGCTTATTTTTTGTAGTAAAAGTTTTCCTGTTTTTTATTTGTTTGAATGACCTCCTAGTAGTTTTCCTTATGTGTGAAGAAAGGAATTGGGTTTTGAGAATTTCCTGAAAATGTCAAGAAATTGGTTGCTTTTGACCAATCTGGTTGCCATTTAACAACTGCACTTTGCGTTATTGTTGAAAGATGAGGTTATTTCACTTTCTCTACCAACGTCTGAAAGTTGACTGAATGATACTGTTTCTGCATTTTAGCTCTCTAACCCATCACTTTTATCTTAGTGGGAATAATACAGGAATCTAAGAAATTACCTTTAAAATCCTCTTGCAAACAAAACAACTGCTGTTAATAAATAGTATATTATTTAAGATAAGCATGATTTCAAAAATGTAATTGTAGAATGCTCTTTTTTTTTTTTTTTTTGCAGTTTTTGGCCGGGGCTGGGTTTGAACCCACCACCTCCAGCGTTTGGGGCTGGTGCCCTACTCCTTTGAGCGATAGGCACCGCCCTGTAGAATACTCTTAATAACATGAGCTTAGCTTATTTATGAGATAGATGGTGCTGGACTGGTGGTGAGAAATTAGTTTCCAGCTCAGGAACTGGCAAGCTCTTTCTGTAAAGAGTCTGATACACATTATTTAATAATTACGTCATTATTTAATCATCCAATAATAATTGAATGTAACTTTTTGTAATACAAGCTTACTATTGAGAATTAAACTTTTTAAAAAAGATAACATTTCACATAGTTGGAGTTCATAACTGGTATTCCTATCATCAAAATCAATTGAAAATGTTTATCTTTTAATGCTGATCTATAGTGAAATTTTATGTATTTCATCTTTGAAAATGTCTTTTCACACACACAGGTACTGTCAAGTGTTGGTGTCAGTCTATATGCATATAATTGAAATTGAGCTCTTAGAAGGCATTTGTAGAATTCTATCAGATTTTTCTTGGATATTTGCCTTTTAACATGTCATTACCTTATAGATGAATCACTTCCATTTGAAGGTTGGTGGAAGCTTCTTACCTGCACAGTTTTAAATGGATTTTGAAATAGGGGAATTTCCTTTGCACTTACATTGAGACCTAACAAACACCCTGGAATTATAGTTTGAGATTAGAAAATACGTTCCTTGCCAAGTTGTATGGAAATGGAGATCTAATGTCTTGTTTTAGTGTTTGACAGCACTGAAAGTGTATAAAGCAGCTTGACATTACTTGTGACTCAAACAACATGAGTTGTTGAAGTGACTTTACTGTGGTGTAACTTTTACATATGAGTGCTGTTTTACCTTGTAATTTTAGGTGGAATTAAGGTACAATATTAAGTCTGCTGCGAAAGCTAATTTTCAAAGCCATTTAATGTTTGATAATAATGGTTGAGAGTGGCTCTTCTCATTAAGTAAAATTTAAGTCTTGCATACTAATAACCTATTTGATGAAGAAATCAAGAAAAATAATTCCATTTACAATAACATCAAAAATAATAAGGCTCAGTGCTCGTGGCTCAAGCAGCTAAAGGTACCAGCCACATACACCTGAGCTGTTGGGCCCGGGCCTGCCGAACAACAGTGACGGCTGCAACAAAAAAATAGCCAGGCGTTGTGGCGGGCACCTGTAGTCCCAGCTACTTGGGAGGCAGAGGCAGGAGAATTGCTTGAGCCCATGAGTTGGAGGTTGCTATGAGCTGTGAT